ATTAAATTATTTATTTCATTATTATTTACATTCATTTTTTTCATATATTTACCTCATGGTAAAATTTTTACCGCGCGCGCGAGGAATTGATATGAAACTTTTTTGCAATTACTTCATTTTTCCGGGCGGGGAAAAATCAATTTTTGTGTAAGTCTAATCCTGAAAAATATTAAGAAGATTAAACATTAGCCGGCAAATAATTGCTTTCTCGATTAACTTTATTTTTTATTTTATCTCAGATTTGTAAATAATTATCCACTGGTATGATTTCTAACTTGTCTTTAACTTGGGAGGGAAAGTCATTTAGGTGGTTTTTATTTCCCCACGGGATAAAAATGGTTTTTAATTTATATTCGTAAGCGGCAGTTATCTTCTCTCGTAGTCCACCAATAGCGGAAACTTTTCCTTTGGAAGTAATTTCTCCGGTCATAGCAATATATTGAGGAATGATTTTTTTTGTCAAGGCAGAGATAATAGCCGTAGTTAAAGTAATTCCTGCGCTAGGACCATCTTTGGGAATTCCACCCCTGGGAACATGAATATAAATATCATTATCCGTAAAAAGATGATAATCAATACCAAATTTTTTGGTGATTGGCTTTAACATAAGATAAAGCCACTTGGGCAGATTCTTGCATAGTTTTTCCTAAATTACCGGTTAGTTTTAAATTTCCCTTGCCGGGAAAAAGGTTGACTTCAATGGACAAGACATCTCCTCCGGCTTCCGTTCAGGCTAATCCATTGACTATTCCTGGTTCATCATAATCCACCAAGTTATCTCGTTCAGTTGTTCGGAATCCTAAATATTCTCGTACTTTGGCTAAATCAATTTTTTCACTTTTTAAATTATCTTTGATTTGCTTTACAGCAAATTTATCAGCAATTCGACTAAAGATTCTTTCTTGTGTTCTCACACCACCAGAATGAACATAAAAATTAATAATTTCTTCGATTGCTTCATCAGTGAAAGTTAATTGATCTTTTTCTAATTCATACTTAGCTAAAATTTTCGGAATGGAATGATTTTTGGCAATTTGAACTTTGTCAATAGTAGTATAAGGAGGTAATTGAATTATATCCATACGATCCCGCAAAGGATTGGGAATGTTTTCTAAATTATTAGCGGTGCAAATAAACATTACTTTAGATAAATCATAAGGAAAATCCTGCCCTAAATAATTGTCATTAAACTTTTCGTTTTGCTCGGGGTCTAAAACTTCTAATAGAGCTGCCGTCGGATTACCATGGTGGCCAGTGACATTATCGATAACTTTATCTATTTCATCAATTAAGAACAAAGGATTAACTACCCTGGACTGACTCATGCCTTGGAGAATTCTGCCTGGCATAGCTCCAATATAAGTTTTCCGATGACCTCGGATTTCGCTTTCATCATGAACTCCCCCAACCGAGATTTTTACAAATTTTCTTCCGGTTGCTTTTGCAATGGATTGACCTAAAGAAGTTTTACCAGTTCCCGGAGGACCAACTAAACAAATTACTTGGGATTGTTTTTTGCCGGCTTTTTGTTGTCCCGCCAAATGCTCAATAATTCTTTCTTTAATTTTTTTCTAAACCAAAATGACCCTTATCTAGTTCAGTTTGAGCCGCGGCTAAGTCTTTATTTTCTGTGGTAGTTTGCCACCAAGGCAAAGACATTAATTTTTCAATATATTCTTCTTGAACATCCCGATTGCTTCCCCATGGATGCATTCTATCAAGTTTACGGACTTCTTTTAGGATTTTTTTTTTAATTTGGGGCGGAAAGGGTTCGCTCTCTAATCGTTGGCGATAATTTTTATCTTCTTCCTCGGCGGGGGTTTCTGTTTCCTGAGTTGACCCGGTTTGTTTTATTTGGTTCTTTCTTTGGGCTTCCTCAATAATTTTGGGAGTGATTATAAATAAATAAATGAAAAAGAAAGTTAATAGGGCCGAATGAAAGAAAATTCAAATTAAGGAAAAACTTTTTTTACCAATTCGTTTGGAAATTCCTTGGAGAGGGTCAGATAAATATTGATGGTAATAATCCGAAGAAGCGTTAGCTGAAAAATCAAGTTTTAAATAGCTTCCCTCTTGGGGAATAACTAAAACCCCTTTAAAATTGACGGTTTGCGGATAAAAACTAATTTTTAGTTTATCAATTTTTTCCACTTGGTATTCTTGACTTTCAACTACTAATTTTTTTTCTTGAAGAACTTGGAGGAATTGAGTTTGGTTTACTTTATAAGTAGTGATTTTTTTAATTAATCATTCAGTAAATAAAAAATAAAAATAGGCAAGGATAAGAAAAAAAACATAAGGCAAAAAAGTGCCGTCTATTCTATAATTTTTATGAGAAAAAGAATAATAAATAGTGTTGTAAACTTTAAATTTATAGGTTAAAAAACCTAAAAAAATTGTTCCTAATAATCAGTTAGTTATGCGGAGAATAATTTTATTTCAGCGATGAAAAAGAAAACTTTCGAACATTTATGATATAAATTTTAC